TTTTTTTTTGGGAAATGCCCCCTCCAGTGCTATGGGTGCTGGTAAGAGCAGACACCGCCAGCACCTGGGGAGAGGCTCCATCTGTTGGTGGGAAGCATCCATCACCTGCTGGAAAACGGGACCAGCGCCCCATATACAGAATGAAATTGGAGGATATCAGGAGTGATCTAATTACCTGATCTATCATTTTCTGTTTTTACTGAGAATTACGTGAGATTGACAACACAGGTCAAACACATGAGAGTCAGTGATTCTGCATGTACATACAGGGAAGCTGGACCCGTTTTTCAGCAGGTTGGTGGTCCCCACCAAGAGACTGGAGCCGTCTGCTCCCCACCAATAGATCAAAGCCGTCCCTACTGCAGTCGTCAATCTACATGGTTCTCTCAGCGGCAGCTCCTCGATAGAGTGGATGTGACGTGATGCTTCTGGGTAAAAAAGAGGAAAAGAAAGAAAAAGATTGCCCGACCACCAACTGGGCCGCCCGGATCACCTTGGTTGGCCTGGCAAGGGCCAGGGAAGGTCCGTGTAAATCAAACAAAGGAGAAAAGACCTCCAGAAAATCTGAATAAAAAACTATGCTGTGCAGAATTTTATTTATTTATTTACTAGGCTACCAGCCGGGCCGCCCAGGTCCCGGGTGGCCAGCCCGTGCAAGGACCAGGGTAGGTCCCAGCAAAAAAAAAAAAAAAAAAAAAAAACGAAATCCAAAAACTCCAGAAAAAAACTATGTTACGCAGAAAAATAAACTGAACAACTTTTTTTTTTTGTTGTTGCTTTATTATTATATATTTTTAACACAAAACCGGGAACCGGGGCCGGGTGTCCCTTATATTACAAAGCCAGGAAACGGGCCTGGCGTCCCTCACAAAAATTCCAGAGTCCAGTTTTAAGGCAAGACATCACCAGTCAAGCCCAAAAACTAGACTGTCACTCCCCTTGATGATATGCACAAAAAAGGCAGAAAAAGAAAACCAAAAATTGAAACAAATCACTATTTGACGAGAACTTCAAGAAGTATGATACAGTTGTAATTTTAAACTGTCTCCCTCACCTCAATGTCGTGTACAGGAAGCCAGAAAGAAAACCAGAATTCAAATTGAAGTAAATCAATATGTGGCCACTAATATCTAACTGCAGTCTTATTGGTAATATCAGCCTTGGGCACTGGGCCCGGTTTTCTTCTTCTTCTTCTTCTTTTTTTTTTTTTTTTTTTTTTTTTTTTTTTTTTCCCATCATCTGTCGTTCTGAAATTGCTGTGAAAGTGCTCTGAATTTCGTTGTGCCCTGCAACCGAACTTGTAGCTCCACGGACAGGGCCACATGATGAATAAGGGTCTCGCCTCACGGCACACGAAACGAAAACGAAACGAGTGCATCTGCCCACTAAAGGTGGCAAAAAATACACTCGTTACTATATATAGCAAAACGATGAACCTGGTATTTTCTGCAGGAAGATGCACGCGTTTTGTTTTTCGTTTCGTGTCCCGTGCGGCGACGCCCTAACACTAGTTCCCAAACACAGTCTGCCAAGCCAAGCTCTGCCTCAGTGGACCCGTCCTGGAACTCTTGGGACGGGCTGGCACTGCATTGAATTTCATTTAGGGCCAGATCCCATAAGCCCCCCCTATTGTTCATTTCTGACCGTTGATCTTCGTAATCGAGGGTGAAAAATGAATAATCCAGGGTAGTGGGATCTGCCCCTTAGTAGTACTCGGAATCCAGTGGACCTGGAACTCTGGATAAGAGTGCGGCATTGCGGCATTCACGGACTCCAGGCGCTGCTGACTCAGTGGACGTGAAACTTCTAGAAGGCTTGGTAATTATCCCTGTATGTGGGGCAGCTTCCAGTCTACAGTCTTCCCCCGAATACAACGTACGGTCAGTATAGCTGAATTTAGACTGAAAGATAGGCCGAATTCAGCTAGAATGACCGTACGTTGTATTGGGGGGAAGAGTGTAGATGTAGCATTAACAAGCGAGGGCTCTATTCTAGTGAAGACTGAGTGATAGGGGGGGGATAGGGGAGATGGACGGGAGGGGTGCGCATCAGCAGCATAGGGCTGGGGGATTGGCAGCTGTCGATGTATTTGATGAATGATGGGGGATTGGCAGCTGTCGATGTATTTGATGAATGATGTGATGTAATCGACTTGAAGTCTGGCTAACCAAAAGCCAAAAGTGTGCCCAAGAGTGGTACGGATACGACTTCAAGGTCCAGTCCCAAAAAAAAAAAAAAAAAAAAAAAAAAAAAAATTATACACACAAGTGAATCCAGTTACTAGAAAAAAAAATAATAATAAAAAATCCAGTTACTAGACACGCATTGATCGCCGGGCCGTGGTCCCATTAGCAAAGTGCGTCGGATTGAATGCCTGAATCTGGACGTGTTTGAGGACAGGAGCAGGAAATCGAGATAGAACTGCTTATCTGTATCGTTTCTTAAAACATAGCCAGATTCAGGATTTCTATCCTATCCCCTTCGCTAGTGGGACCTCGGCCCCGGAAGCGGTCAGCCGTGGTCGGGCTGAGGAGACGAGGCCACCTCCCATCCCGTCCTCGCGTTAATGCTCCTTTTTCTTTGTTTTTTTTTTTTGGTAGATTGCTGGTAGTTTCTGAAAAAAAAATAAATTTATTGCTGGTAGCGGCAGCCAATGGTTGTGCTGACAGGATAGGCCACCTACCCTAGTACCCATCCCCGCGTTAATACTCCCAGCGCACCGC